AACAGAAACGCTTTCTGCACACTTCGTTACCACTTATATCCACAGAAGCAAAACTACCAGAATAGTGACAGTAGAGATGTGTTGGCTGGCCATCCATTTGATTGGTCAATCATTCACCTGGCATATTGTTAGTGCTTTGTATTCTGAGATATACAGAGAGAATGAAGAATTCTGGGGATGGAAGAGTCCATCTGAATTAGTTGTTTGGGGGCTTCAGGATTCCCAAGGTCAATTCTAACCCCACCCCCCAACACTGAGGAAATAACATGCATATCACAATTCTTTTCATTCTACCAAGTGAAGTGAGTTCACATCTATCTGTTATCTTCTAGCATCACTGTTTCATAAAATAAGTTACATTTCAGGATCAGAATCCTAGGAAGAACAAAATAAAACATTGTATAGTCAGTAGTTGCATCAAAGTTTAAGAACAGATGGGATTCTAGAACAAGCGAAGGGAAAGGACATGGCTGGGAAAGAGATCAGTGCACATGAAAGTATGCTGGCTACAAAGCACACAGAACGGTTCTCCAGTTGGATTGCCGGACTCCGGTGGATGTGTAATGAAGAGTGATGAAAAATGAGGCTGGAAAGAGCCACAGACAGATGGCCATTCTAGAAAGACGTGGGATCCTGGGCGTTGTGCCCTACAGCAATGGGAGGATTCATTGATAATGTTTTAGGAAGAAGTGATGCGATCGGAGCTGTGGATGGTGAGCTCTATTTGGTGAGGCTCCGTAGGCTGGCTCACAACACGTGAAGCTGGCAATCCAGGTGAAGCTGTCACTTCGCTCCAAGGTGGGGAGAGAGAGGGCAGGGCCAGAGCAGGAGCAGGAGGGAAAAAGGAAATATTCCAAGAGTAAAAGCAACCGTGTTTAGCGGCAGATTAGATGTGGGAGACCTGGTGTCCAGCCTGGGTGGCAAAAATGATGTTTAGTGGGAATGAAATGGATTTACATATTGGGAAGGAATAGGAGCAGTCATAGATGAATAGCATAGTTTAGAATTTACTTTCTGCCAGCAAAATATCATGTTCCCACCTTTCAAGGGTGGCATTGTTAACAATGTATAGATCTTCAGTGTTGTGGGAATAAAAATAAAAAGTTTATAGATGAATACTTGAATGATTTTCATAGTTGAAAATCCTATTGTCAATTGGTTTTGTTCAGTGGCAATAAATTGCTCCCAATCTTCTTGGAAAACATGCAGAGGAAAAAGAGAAAGCAGAATTCCAAGATAGAAAGACCCTTGTAAAGACCCTCATTTCCTTGAAACCCAGAAAAACACAGTAATTTTCTCAAGTAACCTGGATTCCTGTTGGCATAGTAATTACGCATTGGACTGCTAATGCAAGATTGACGGTTTGAAACTACCAGCTACTCAATAGGAGAAAGATGAGATTTTTCCACTCTCAAAAAGTTAGTCTTAAAAACCCGCAGGGGCAGTTCAATCCTGTCCGATAGTGTTACTATGAGTCAGAATTGACTGGATAGCAATGAGGTTGGTTGGTTGATTGGTTGATTAGAACCTAGGTCGATAATGGAAAAATCAGGACTAAAATGCAAGCTGCCATAAATCTAGCCCCTTAGTGACTGGACTTTCCACAGGGAGACTGAGTAGCATTTCAACGCAATCCCATTCCCTCTCTTGTCCTTCCCATGGGCATTCCTCAAACAAGTTCCTAAGAATGCCGATGAACTATCTATCATTGACTGTTTCCCTCTGGCTTTCTCATATAAGTCCTAAAATTCCCTTTAAAAAATAAAAGATGAGGTCAATACCTTTGTCATAAAATATTAGCTATTCTAATTCTAGAATGTCCAGGGGGATAATTTTTTTTTAACTAACCAGCAATAGGTGAAGACAGCTCACAAAAGAGAACCATTTTTAGAATCTGGCATCTTCCTGACAAGTCTGAATACTGTCAGGTACCAACTTTGACCTAAAGACTGTAAACTTGAATATTCCCAGGGAGGAAATCCTGAGGTTATTTTGCATTATTCAAAGGCACTGTATGCTATTAGGTCATATCTACACAACCAGAGGGAATGTTAAACAATTATGCTGGTTGATTTATACAGGGGAGTGGGGGCTTGTTAAATAGGCAAAAGCTGTTATCTGGATCTCAAAATTGGAGAAATTGAGCATGACTCACCTATTCTGAATGTCAGCACATCATGAATTCACAGACATGACATGAGAACAGAGAGATGAAAACAGTTAGCTATTGATTCTACTCCCTTTGAGAGCCAGCGTAGCTCCTCCAGGGACCAACTTTCCCCTTTTTCCTTAAAACAGCCTCCACTCCCCACTTTCCCACATGCCTGCGTAGACCCAGCTGGGAGAAATGTAGACCAACTGCTATCAGTCGGATGCCAGTTATTGTGTCCCTGGATGTGTGCATGCCCTCTCGACTCCTCATAACTATGAGGTACATTTTCCAATCAGGAAACACACGTTAAGAAAGGGATTCAAAACTTGCTCAAAGTCATACAGCTTGTCAGTGAAAAAGTCAAAATCAAACCAGGTGTGTCTGCTGCCAAATCCCACGACCTTAACCATGATACCTTGCCTCCACCAAGCCAGCATCATCTCCCACGCCAACCCAGACGTAGACAAAACATTTCCAGGAGCAGAATGGACTCAGAGTCAGGCACAGTGCATGTGGTCAAGGACAGAGGCGGTAAAATGGATTTCAGACACTCAAGTGTGCTCCTCTTTCCTTGTGAATATAAGGTGTCTCTTTCTAGTTAGTCTGACTGCGATTACAGGGTTTGCTCTCCTGGCCTCTGGAATTGAACTCAGCGAGGCAGCAGAATGTTCAGGGTCCAAGTGCACACAGGGCAGTCAGTGTGCTAGTGTGCTTGACAAACTAAATCCTAAAGTTGGAATACTTCTTCCCATGTCTCTACCTTCCTGGAAAACCTGTGGTTAAAAATAGTGGTTTAACTCGTCTTGGCAAGGTCTAATCCTGTGCTTGCTTCAGCAGCACACATGCTAAAATTGGAAAGGTCTAATCAGTTGTCCAAACACTTTGATTCTTACTCCCACTCTTCTGACTCAGAGAGAATACCAAGGGGTAGCTTTGAGAGCCATATCTATACTGCCCCTAGATGCTGAGTCAGCACTTAAACTAATAAGGTTTTCTGTAGCACTTATGCAATTTTACTATCCAAGAGATCCCGGAGAGTTTAGGAGTTTTCTAATAGTGCCCAAAGCAAACCAAAGTTCATACTCTCCTTTAGCTCAAAGGTGGTCCTCACTCAGGAAATCAGAGTAGACTCGATCGAGGTTTCTACCTCAGAATTGCTGGGAAAAGCAGACAGCCTGATGGTACTGCACATTTAGTTATTGGACTAACAGGCTTTTGTGCATTATATACCTCTGAAGGTAGAGAATGCCAAAAGAATCTTATCCCAATACACCATAAAACACAGGAACGCCCTTCCCATTTGAGCCAAAGATTACCTAACTCCCTTCACCTGCCTGGCTCATACTAAGCAGTCGATATATATTTAGTAAATGGTTATTTTTCTCTGTTGCTTTTACTGTGAGAATGCTGGTTGAAAAGTAGAGTCACCAACATCAAAAGTATGGAAGAGAAAACTGTAAGTTCATTTTGCTTTAAGCAGACCCAAAGTAAACATATATCATTCTCCAGCAGGACAAGAAAAAACAAATGAGCAAAGTCCGTTTAATTTATTCCTGAGAAGATGCACAGCAGAACACAATTAATCAGGCAATGTATGAAAAGATGAGACAGAGGGAAGGGGAGCAGGGAGGGAGGGGAGAAATGAGGAGCTGATGCCAGGGGCTTACATGGAGAGCAAATGTTTTGAAAATGATGAAAGTAACGATTGTACAAATGTACTTTATACAATTGATGCATGTATGGATTGTGATAAGAGTTGTATGAGCCCCCAATGAGATTTTTTTTAAACTTGAAGTGGAAAAAAAATTAGGAAAATGCAAAAAACAAAGCAAAAAGAACATAGAAAAAAAACCAAAAAATGTTTAAAAAGAAAGAAAAGATGAAATACAATCCAACTGGATTTCACACACAACTTTTAGGGAATTGCATAGAATGAGACTGGTAGTAAATTCACTAAATCACTTGTCTCAAAGCACTATTCTAAACACCACTGTTTAGAATATCCACAACAATTCCAGACCTGGCCTCTCCTCCCTTCTCTCCACACCCATGTACTTCCCCCATGTTAGCCTGGTTAGTTTATACTGGGGTCTTAGTAGCAGGAACTTCCAGACTCTCCAGGAAAACGTCCCTCATTCTCCAAACCAAGAAACCGCCTGTTCCCATCTTTGTCTCGGCGTTATTCCACCACACTATCATTACATACTCCCATGTCTTCTGCTTAACTAAGATTCCTTTTCCTTAAGGGAGGAATAGGTCGTAATGCATTCTATTTCTATATTAAGACTAAGCATAAAGTTGTTAAGAATAAATTCTCAATAAATATTTGTGGAATGGATGAATGTATCTATCACAGACATAAAATTAAATCAGATTTTAGGTGTGGTTGTTAATCACCTGGAGATAAATTTAATCTGCAAATGTACATGAAAATGGAGGGTCTTCAATGAAGTCTGAGTGTCTTACTGAGTATGACACGGCATGGTGGAGGAAGACAGAAAGCTGTAGCTAAGAAGCAAAGTATTTATAAGGAATCCCTGATGAATAAAGGTTTGGCTGGGTGTAGTAGAGAACATGAACACAGGTGCAAGTACAGAGAAACATGAAAATCGCTGGAGGTTGGGTGCTCTTGGTCAAAGACCGTATCTCTGATCTAAATCTAGACCACCCCAGCTGCTCCTACACATGACAGCGCTGTCATCACCACTGTCCTATGTGCACAGCAAGCCTGGGGTCCCACATTCCAACTCGTCAGTGCCATCAAGAAGGACTAAGTAGTTCTTACCAACATCAACAATAAACTCTTAAAAGCAAATGCAGCATTAGACTCCCCTGGACAGCCTCTCACCTGCTGATTCTGGTAGGCCGTGACCGTGGTGAACACAGTCTCAGGAAAGTTGAACGTTTTCACCCCGTCCCCAACTGGAACAGGCTTGGTGGGAGAAAGGTCGCTGCTGAAGTCCTTGCGAATCACGTGAACCCGGGGCTGGTATTTGTGCATAGAGTGCAGAATGATCTGAAACGAGAAGGGAACATTTCTTAGCAAGGTTGGCTTTAAGGTCCTTATAGCTCTCCAAGCTCACGTTCAAAATGAGACAGAAGACAGCAGCACTATGAGAAGAGCCCAGGTTGGAAATGCGATGCACAGGAAACGTGAACCCCGTGGAGGTGTGTTATTTGCCGTCAAGTCAGGTCTGCCTCATGGGGACCCTGTCTGTGTCAGAGCAGCCCTGTGCTCCACAGAAAGTTTATGGTTGCAAGTTTTGGGAGGCAGCTCCCAAGGCTTGTCTTCTGAGGTGCCTCTGGTGGGTTTGAACTGCCAAATTCGGGGTTAGTAGTTAAGCCCTTAACTATCTGCTCCATCCAGGGGCTACTTGTACCTGCCCAGGGCAGGAAGGGTGAGTAACTGGATGGCATCAGATGGGACCAGATCAGGTATCTCAACCAGGAATAGTGGGCACAATATGTGTGCTCTGACTGGATGAACTCTGACTGGCCACGCTGGTACCACTGAACAAACGCCACTAAAAGTTCTTAGAACTTCTTACAGGTGACAAGCTGTTTGCTCCAACTTGAAATGTTCAGCATGCCATACTGTCTTTAAATGCTATATATTATTTTTTGGCATGGGTTGTGTTTCTGGAAGCTTCTTTTATGTGGGATGAAAATGAAAGCATGTATGTACCCCTTCCCTCTTGAAACTGCCATGTTTTAGTTTCTTTTGCATCCTCTCCCAGGGCCCAGTATGGACCCTAGACTTCAGTGAAAATCAGTACATATTTTACTATATGCAGCGCTCCAGTTACACCTGGGAAGGTGTCCGACCTAATCTTCTTTCATAAATTCCTTGACCAGTCAGCCAAAGCTGTCACTTCCATTGCATCCTCTGGGTTATTGCCTTATAAGTTAATCTACTGAACGCTGTTATTTCTTCTACTGTTTTTTTTTAATGCGTCATGTATTCCTGTCTTACTCCCTACCACCCACCCCCGCCTCTGACTGAACTGTAAGTTCTTGTAACACAATGATTTTGTGATGTTTGCTAGATGTTGGATTTGTAATAAGTCAAATTTCTCTAAGTGAATAAACAAACTTTCATGCTCCTTTTTAAGACTGAAAAGGGCATTAGGTGTCTTATATGACCTGTCTGGAAAGTCTTTGAACTAGTTCGCACTAGAGTAGAAGGGGGAAAGGGGAGATAAGATTCTTTGACTCACATGTCCTTGATCATCCAATTCATTGTTGGTCAGCTTGAGCTTGTCAAAACTGACCACCTGTCTCATCCACGTGTCTCCAGAAGCTAGAGAATCAGGGTGGATATACACTCTTGGGGGCACAGGGGAATCAGCATTGCCTGCCACCATCCACTTGGAGCTGTGATACACGTATCTGGAGGGGGAGAGAAGAGAGCTCAGAAACAGGTGCACAGAGGGGATAGAAGCCCAGGAAACAATAGAGGTAGGTGGGAGAGAGGATAAGAAAGAGATAACAGAAACAAGGAAGTAATTGTGGTGAAATAGAAAATCCAAAGGAGAAAAAGAGAAAGGGAGATAGCAAAGAAAATGAGAACGAGATGGAAATGAAGGAACATGTGGGTTGGGGGAGGGCAGAGAAGTTGGTTAATGGTCAATGTTACCTCTCCCAAAAAGACCCAGCCCCTTTCTTCCTTTTCCCTCTCCTTGCCAAATACCCCTGAATGCACTCAGGCAACGCACGTGCCTAGCAAGGGAAAAGGTATTTGCTGCATCCTCTTACCTTGCAAATGCAAACCATGCAAACCCTTGGCCAGTTGTTCAGGATTTTGTTTCTTACTAAGAATGTCTTCCATGTGCAGACATGTGCAGACAACCTTCAAGTCTCTCACTTGTTAACCATTCGCTTGCTAAGAATCTGAATTTGGAGGCATTTCTATAGAAATGCAATACTTTTCACTCAGTTCATTTATTCCCAGAAAGACTACCAAATAATCTATTTGATGAACCTGGTTTTGAGCTTCATCATATTCTACACTATTTCCCGCAAGGCAATTGGATATGTGATGTTCGCAGTAGCAAAGGAGGTCGGTTTACCAGACTGCTAATAGCCCTATAGCTTCAGTTAGCTTGCTTCATGAATCTGTCATTTTGCTGCTTCTCATGCTAACGGACCATGCGGGGCCTGGATCAGCAAACAGAAGCACTCAGTTAAAATCATCACTCCCGGTGTCCTGGGAAACAGATCTGAAGCACCTTCTCTCCTAAATCCTACAATGCAGACCACATATTTCTGACCAGCTCCCCACACTTCCTGACCCAGTCTAGTCTTCTTTGTTAATCTCTCACCTTCAAATGCATGGGTTTATGATCAAGGTCTCATACTTGACATCTTTCAAAAATGAGTCATGATTCACTGATTTAACTAAGAGCTCAATGTCACTGAAAAGAACTACAAATAAGATACCCAAGAAACATGGAGGCTTTGCAGGATCTGAGTGACTTTGAAGAACTTACTTGGCAAATTCATTAAACTCATATTAATGAACAATAATTCTACCTAATTAGGTGTTCTTCTAGAAATCCTACCCAATTCTACCCACCACAATCTGCCAGATATGTAATTAATTGAATATACTGCCCTACCTACCTTCTCCAAAATAAATCATTCCATTTCATCCAGCATTCATAAACCCAGTGGTAACTTCTTAATGATTTTCAAGGTTAATTGAATTAGTTACTCACCCCCCTTGGAGACCTTAAAGGTTTCCTCTCTCTGAAGACATAGGGAGGATTCCAGACCTTCCCATTCCTGAGCTCTAATTGCTGACCTCTAGTTACTAGTTAATGCATAGGTCACTGGCACATCCAACCATTCATTTTTCCCTATGCAGTGCCCTGAGATGACGCTTCAGCCAGTAAGTTTAAAGAAGCCTTTTGGAATGTGGTTGATGCCCCAAGTTGCACAGCCCATAGTCACCGTTACCTGTATCTTTTATTGTCCACAGGAACAATGTCCATCGCTATGTAGTACTGCTGGTGTGGATCTAGGCCAGTAATTTTCACTCTCATGGCAGGAAACATTCTCCTAGGAAGTGGAAGAAGGCAGTAAGTTCAGGAATAAGAAATGGAGGAGTGGTAGCAGTAAAACTTGAAGAGTCTCTTCTTGTTAGGAGCTATGAGCACATTGAAGCCCAGTGTACCCCGATTCTAAAAATTGGCAGATTTTTTCTTATGTTGGCAATTAGCATTATAAAATATGCTGGGGATTTAAATCACTGAAACAGCACCTCTCCTTAACTGAAATTGGCCAATTTGATTATTCATACACTAATAAGGGGCATACTATGTCAGTCTATACGTAAGTTTTTTAAACACCAAACTCAGTGGCAGCAAGTTGATTCCAACTCATAGTGACCCTGTACAGGGTTCCCAACGCTACAAATATTTACCGAAACAGCCTCATCTCTCTTCCGTGCAGCAGCGCGTGAGTTTGAACCACCAAATTTGAAATTACCTGACAGCACCCGTAGGACTCCTTGTAAATTATACATTTCACTGACAGCCATTGAGTCACTGCTGACTCACAGCAACCCTACAGGACAGGGTAGCACTGCCCCCGTGAGTTTCTGAGACTGCAACTCTATGGGAGTAGAAAGCTCTTTCTCCCGAGAAGCGACTAGTAGTTTCAAGCTCTGACTTTGCAGTTAGGAGCCCAAAGTGTAACCACCCCCCACCAGGGCTCCTCTAGATGATACAGAAATGGCATAATTCCCTTCTCAATCACATGTGTATATTAACTTCATTATTCGTTTATACTTAATGACACATAAGCATGTGAAGATAGCTGTGTTGACATGTACGTTGCCAACTAGACTATACTATTCTCACATGTACTATCAAGTATGGTGCAACTTATGCTCTCACGCGCTTCTCAGTTCAAAAACAAACCGTCTAACTCACTGCCATCAAGTCAGTTCTGACGCACGGCACCCCTACGGGACAGAGTAGAACTGCCTCTATAGATGCCTGAGAATGTAACTCTACGGGAGTAGAAAGCATCATCCTTGTCCCTCGAAGTGCTTGCTGATTTTGAACTGCTGACTTGTGGTTTGCAGCCCAACAAGTGACCCACTAAGCTACCAAGACACCCTCTTCATTACCCAGAGGTAATAAAATATTTCCTGGTCACCTACAAGAAGAACCCTCATTACCCAAGGGGTTTTCCTTGTCAGTGACCATGAAAATCTTTTTGTCATGTAAATGGAATCATTTAATATGTGGTCCTCACATACGACTTCTTTCACTTATTTTCAAGTTGCATTCATATTTTAACATGTATCAATCAGTACGTCATTACTTTTTTAATAATGTTATTGTCATATGCCCTTTCAAAAGTTGTGAAATCACCCCAATCAATTTCAGAATATTGTCTTCTCATACTCATTATTGTTAGCTCCCCATTTACCCCCAACCTCCCTTGCCATGTCCCATGTGGACTCATTGGTCAGGACAGAACTGCCCCCGTGAGTTTCTGAGCGTGGAACTCGTTATGCGACAAGAAAGCCCACCTTCCCCCCTCAAAGCAGTGAGTGGTTTCAAACTGCACCCCTTGCAGTTCTCAGCCCAACTCATGACCACTAAATCACTAGAACTCCTTTGCCATGCCCCTTGGGAATTATTAACCCAGTTGCTTTCTCTATAGATTCACTTATCCTGGATTTCATATACAGAAGATCATACAAAACACAAACAGGAAGCGAATATCCATTGAGTGAGTCTGTATGAGAATGATTACTCTAAATAATCACTCAAGAAGATAAAAAGGAAAGTGTTGTTTCTTCCCAGAAAGTTGCCTACGTTGAGTTTTTTGTTTGTTTGTTTGTTTGTTTGTTTGTTTGTTTGTTTGTTTGTTTGTTGTTTGGTGAATGCTTGACAATGTATACAATTTTCTGAGAGTTCTCAAGCTGTCAACATGTGTGTTAGAAAAGAGCTCTGCAGAATTGGGAGCAAATAATAAATGAATTCTAGTGGCCTCAGGCAATACCTTGTTTCTACCACAATGGCTTGTTAAACTTGCCAAAGCAAGCAAGATCAGGATATGGCACTTTACAACTACTCTTCTAATTGAAGAGAAGCAGAGAGGGAACAGCCCAAAAGAGGCATTACGTTTCAAGAAGACCAGTATAAGGCTCACCATTCTTCTGTAACCATCAGAAAGAAAAAAACACCAAGCCCTCTTGGGTGCCTTTCTCTTAGGGACCAGACATAAAAAGGGCTCAGTTCAAAAAGTTGGGTTGGTCCGAATGTGCCTTGGGGATACTTGTATGCAAAATGCTGCTATAAGCTTAACCATCTGGGGCCAGTTAGTCGAGCTGGGCAAAGCACGGTGCTAATGAGGTCAAGGTCACAGGCTTGATCCATATATGGCTTAATTGGCTTTGCTCCATTTCATGGTCATAGACCATACCGCGACCTCAGACAGCCATCTTGCAAAAGTATACTGCTTGGTTACATGTGAGGCTGCCTGTGATTCACTTCACTACGCCTTCTAAGAAAGCAACTCAAACATCAACTGCCTTCTGACATTAGGTCAGGGACATCATAGCCTTCTTTGAGGGAAGGACCAAGGCATAGACCTTTAATATTACTGATGGATACGTCTCCAGAAAATCACAAAGAATAATATGTAACCAGTCCTTCATTCCCACTTTAGTGCTTTGCAGCTCACACTGGGATACTATTTTAGATTTTCTATGCCCCTTCCCTCTTTCTGCAACTTTCATTAGAAAGTCTTAAATTGTAGTTGCAGCCAAATGAAATCTGAGGGTGGCCTACTCCTAATGACCAGCTCTAACGTTCACAGCGGGCTAGGTACGTTGAACCACATTAATTCTGTCCAAATATTTGATGAACTTGGTCTATCCATTTAAATCCAGATTGTGTGATTCCCTTCTTAGTAACCAGGATTCATGATTGACCTGTATGTAGAAATGGGTAGAGGGCATCTTATTAAAAATGGGGACAGAGTCCTCTCACTTGCCACCTGAAATTTTAAAGACAAGATTGCTTTCAGTCACCTACAGCGACTGTGTTACTTTGAGACAAATGGATTTTATTCTTGTTGACTTCGAGAAAAGGAGGCATTTGGCCTTGAGTAGAGAAGTTACTCACCTCTTCCCAGTATTCAAGTTCTAAAATGCATGGGCCGTATGACTCTGGATGAGGCATTAAACACTGTCAACTATCCAACAAAGGAATGGGACTCAAGGTCCCCACCACCAACCCGTGCTTTAAAGTTCCCCGACTGTTTCAATGCCTGTCATGATTGACCCAAAGTTGCCTTTTTTTCCTTTCCCAGAATTTTAACTCAGAATACCACGTGAAGTCATAACTCTGGAGAAAAACTGAATTTTTATATTCCACAAAACAAGTTGTATGTTTGGTTTTAATATTGCAGCTAAATATCAGCCAGTTTTTCTGTCTTTCAAATCCATTAATCCCTCCAAGGACCTCTGTCCGTGGTGCTGATTGTACAGATCGTGTTAGTATCCGCCAAGGCTGAGGGGTCTGCAAAGGACAGCAGTTCTAAATGGGCAGGATTCTCTTCGGGGCAAAGAGTGACTACGACTCTCGGAGGAGAAATACGGAGAAGGATTCATGTGCAACTAGAGTTCTAAGAAAGTGGGGGTTCTAATTAAAATTGTAAAAAAACTGCATAGAAAGGAAAATGAAGTGGAAAGAAATAAATCATTTGGGAGAGGATGGAGTAAACTCATAGATGAGACATTCTTCCTCATATGTTTCTGAGGTGTTTCAGGATTTTCTGAGCAGATTAACACGCAGCTCTGAAAACTCACTTCCTCCCTCACTGCCATCAAGTTGATTCCGACTCACTGAGACCCTACAGGGCAGGCTAGGACTGCCCCATGGGTGTCTGAGACTGTAACTCGTTACAGGAGTACAAAGCCCCACCTTTCTCCCAGGGTGGCTGATGGTCTCTTACTGCTGACGTAGTGATTAGTAGCCCAACACATATCCCCCAGGGCCCCTCACAGCTATGAATGCAGAAGCCACAGAAGTCATTTCTAAACCTGAATGAAGTATTCCAATATGACTAAAGAATAAACCATACAACTCTATTGAAATATCTATGTCTTCGTGAATAAAAGTAAATTTGTGAAGACAGAGATATGGGAAATAAAATGTTATGGACGAAATCATGAAAGGCGGTCACAGGAGAAATATCAAGAAAGCTCTAAAATGAATGAAGTGTACTGAAGTGTAATTTACTGAGTAAGAAGCCTGGTATCAGGAATGAGAGGGACTGGGAGACGTATACCCTGTGGAGCTACAGGGAATACGCAAAATAAAAACTGGAGCATCTTATAGGAAACATAAAAGTGTAATTTGATTTCTCCTCTCACCAAATGAATTCCCTAAGCCACCCCCCACCCCCTCAAAAACAGAACCTAAATGGGGGAGGATTTTCTTTGCATTGTTAGTTTCTTCCAAACCTTAACAACCCAAAATGCCCGGCAGAAGTAGGGCAAAGGCCGAGCAATGGAAAAGAGGCAATACTGAAGATTAGTCCTGCTGTTCCTCCTCCTAACATGCCTTTAATGGTTTTAATCACGACTAAAACTTGGGTAAGGGGGACAGTTTTAAAAGAGAAGGCAATTAACAAGACTTCATGCTCACGTCAGCCTGAGACTTTTGCGGTACTATATGTTACTGGGGAGTTTCCAATGTGCATTCAAGGCAGCTGATCCAGTTAGAACATTGTTTTTATTTTTAGTGTCCATGTTTATGAAAATTGCTTACAAGCAATAAAGTGGATCTCTTTAGGCCTCCATGAGACTACATAGATTGACTTCAAAAAATTAAAGTTGCATTTTTCTTAATTTCAATCAATTATTCCTATATACTCAAAAGAGTCAATCCAGATTTAATTTGCTCTAAACTATTTTCATTTTTTTAATCCAAGGGGCAAGAAGTACAAGTATTTCTTTTATTTTTAAAGAAATCATATTTATTCAAGTAGATCTTGCAAAGATGGTTATACAAATAATTTGATTTACTAAATATAAATTATTTTTCAAGTAGGAAATACATAGGGCAGTTTTCTATGACTTAGCAAAATATAGATTTTTTCTGATAAGTTTAAAGTGTGTTATAAGTTGTTTATTGGTTCATCAGCATTTCAGACATAACCCTGTACTCCATTTCTTCTCTTTCAAGGCAGGGTAAACAAGCCAAACTATTGAGCTCTGACCCTTTTGCTTCTTTAATTGTTAGCAGCTAGTCTGCTCCATATCATAGCCACCCCACGTACAGCAGAGAGAAACACTACCCAGTTCTGCACCATCTGCACGATTTTTTAAATAAATACTTTTATTGGGGGCTCTTATATCTCTTATCACAATCCACACAATCATCCATTGTGTCAAGCACATTAGTACAAGTATTTCTTAGTGCAGAATTATAAATAGTTAAGATCAGCTGGATAGATTTTTCTGAAATTCTGGAGCTTTATCTATGTGGCCTCAGTCAAATTAATGACTGATTTCAAGCCTCTGCTCTCCCACCCATCAATGGGATGAAAATAGCTTATCTCATAGTCAAGTTTAAATGAAGTAATTTATGTGGAGTGACCAGCACTATAGAGATACTAAACTATCAAAAATTAAATGATACCAGAAAAGGAGTAACTTCACTGAAAATGTGTATCTCAAGAGAAATTGTGTTTTTTAAAACTTATCATACTAATTAAATATCTTGCAAGAATTTCCTCCAGAATGCAAAGAATACTTGGTAATAATTTCCAGCCAACAAAAAACTACAAGGGATCACAAATGGGCTCAAAATAAGCACCAAGCCTAATTCCTACAAAGTCTGGTACAAGGAATGTCTGACCGCTTTCAGTGCCTGAGAGGATGCAAACTGTTGTTTGATGAGCAGATTATTTGAAAACTTTAGATCGTGAAGTAAGCACGTGCTTTGGAAAGGTACCTTTTAGCTGCTAAGACACACACAAAAAAAAGAACACACTTCATGGTCATCAAGCCTCTTGTGACTTTGGCCACCCTACAGGAGAGGGGAGAACAGCCCCTGTGGATCCCCCAAACTGTAATTCTTTATGGGAGGGAAAAAGGACAAAAGCCACATCTTTCCCCTGAGGAGTGGCTGCTGATTTGCCCATGTGAACCTGACAGCGCCCAATATGCAACCACGATGCCACAGCGCTCCCCTAAGACAGCAAGGGGCTCCTGTGTTCACGAAACTGCACTGGAAGGGGAGGACCATTTGCAAGAACAGAGGTGACCTAGTGGCTCATGCAGGACAGTAGCAGAATCACAGTACACACACCAGGGCCACTTTACCAGTCTGCCCAGATGCAGGAAAGCGAGGCCAGGTTCCTGTGACTCCGCTGACGTGACCATAACTAAATGGGCAACCGCTCCTGCTTCTGTTCTTGGTTCTTTGAATTTGGTCACGGGGCCCAGCCTTCCTTACCTGCCCGCTTTGGTGATGATCATTTCGGTGCCGATATCATGGAACCTCTTCCAGAGGTCAGCGCACTGCAGCTCCACCTGGATCTCTTCCATGGGGCACAGGGCAGCAGGCACCGGGCCTGCAGCCGCAGAGCTCAGGTCACGGTGAGCGTCAAAGGAGCAGGCAGTCCGCTCAGGGAGCACCTCGGAGTCGGAACCAGTACTCTGCTCGGAATCTGGGAAAGGAACCATCCAGATGAGAAACTGCTCAGCATCCACCTCCCCCGCCCCGCCACCCCCACCCCACCCCCCAGAAAAGGGTGTGAGCGAACAAAAATGAAGCTGGGGAGCTTCAGCTTCCAGCACTCGGGATATTTTATTTTTATGGTTTGTTCTTTGTGATTTACAGCCTTCTTTCGGGGTTTGTGTTTCCAACATGGCATCTGGCATTTGCTGTTGGAACAGCTGAAGAACAGTGGTCCATGGCCGGCAATGTGGAGAGTGCGAAGGTCACCGTGTGGAACAGAATGAGGCCAAGTGCGGGTGATAACATAACTAACCGAGCCATGGCCAAATTTTAATAAATTAAATATAGCCCTTCCTCCAACTCTAGGTTAGACCATTCCACTGTGGGGGGAGGAAGGAGGGCAGTGCTAACAACAACGTCTTCTTTCATTCCGCACCGTCACTGCCTATCCGGGAGTTCTTTGTAAGCATAGTCATTTCTCATCCACTTATACGTCCTGATCCTCAAAAGTAATGAAAACTTGTTTGGGTTCTTTAGAAACACTTTGTCATATGTTTAAGGAAATGGCATTTGCTAAGGGCCCAAGCAGACCATTTTGGATTTTTAAAAGTCTGTGGTGAAGCAAGGAGGTACGCATATGGAAAAAGTTACCCGAGAAGGCGGCAGAAACAAAGGGAATAAGTGAGGTCAGGAGACACCTTGATTGGTTTCTGAAACACGGGCAGAGGGAGGGGTGATCCAAACGGGAAGTCAGGATTGAGAGCAACCAAATAAAAAGCCGGCCTGCTGGGCCAGACGGTCCTTCCCTGTGTCTTCGGCACTCAGAGCAGGAGGGCAGGGGGGCAGGGGCGGGGCATGGATATAGACTGATGGAGAAGACCAGAGTCTGATTTACCAGAAAAGGATTTTTCCATAGGCTGTTTTTGGTTTGGTTTGGGGTTTTTTTGTTGTTGGTTTTTTTTCTTTTCATTTTACTTTTAAGGACTTGCTACCAAGAAGGGAATGTCCTATGACTTTCCAAAGTCAGATCAGCTCGTACAATTTTCTCAAATCTGATGATGGTGCAAGCCAAGTCTAAGACTCTGGTTCTCGAATCCACCCTTAACATGCAGGACTCCAACTGCCTCCTGCCTAAGGAAGCACATCCACAAATAAAGGTTTCAAGCTCCGGTGTCTCTCTGGCAACGGACTTTCCAATGATCGCAAGGTCAGAGTTTCTTGGGGACAAGTTGTCAGCAACAGTAGGATGAATGAAGGAGAGAAGAGAGTGCCACACCACCTCAGAGATTCCTAGCAGATCCCTATGTCTGGGAATAACCCATCCCAGAATTCCCTTATTTCCTTTCCTTCGAGCCCTGGCAGGTTTCTTCCTCTAAATCCGGGAGCATCTCTCGCAAGACTCCCCGCAGCTTTGCCAGTGTTCCCGGAAAGCCAAGTGCCCACAGGGGGTCAAATGTGCCCGACCTCCATCCTCCCAGCCCCACTCTCTTCCCCACTGAAGGGCATTCAGGTCACTGAGGAACTGCACCCGCTCCAAGGTGAAGGGGAAGTTCCGGACCCAAACTTGAGTTTCCACAACTCACTCGGCCTAGACACCACCTTCTCCAATGAAAACCAACAGACATTTTATAACTAGGTTTTGAATGTCTAAGCATATTGTTTTATCCCATGGACTACACGGCTCTAATGGGGGAGCTATTTTCGGTCTCCTTCAAGCACTGAAAAGTGGACCTGCTTCTCGAAGGTGAGAAGTGCTGCTGAAGGGCAAGTCTCCCTGGGAGGCTGACCGCACAGGCCTCTCAGCAGCAGGAGGGGATCACGTGGGCACTCACGCAGTCAAGCGGAGTAGTCGGATTCCGCAGACTTGGATGCCCAGGCCTCATTTTGTTTCTGTGATATCCCAGGAGTTCCTCACTAACCGTGAATATTGTGAATTGTTCAAAAACTGCTCAAAACAAACTTTTTTTTAAAAAAAAATAACCTTGTCCCACCTTTGGGAGCAAAGTGTTATGCAATTGCCTCACTATATAGTGTTATAATAATGACAAGTTGGACAGAGACACCCTAAGTAAGGCCCACGGGAAATTTTGACCATGGCCGATCATTTCCCTGGTGCCTCTTTAGGAACGGAGAGATAGCTGTGCACAAAGTGATAAATATTTATTGGCAGCCAAGTCGAGGTTGAGATTGGCACAGGGATTACAGTGGGACAATTGGGAAATAAGAGACTCTATTCTGAACTCACTATATTATCTGGAATAAAAGATAAAACAGTTACTCAAAATGTACCTGTTCAGGGGCTAGATGAAGAACCTGAGACAAGGCCCTTAGCCACAACGGCCTATGTTCTCACCCTGTAATTAGAGGGCTTGAACTGAAAACAGGCAGCATCTCTTCCACCTCTAATGGCAAAGAATATAAGAATACTGCGATCTTGGTTAGAACCCCCAAACCCAAACTGATTGCCTTCAAGTGAATCCCAACTTCTAGTGACCCCATCTGACGGAGAACTGGCCTGTTGCATTAGCATTTCCAAGGCTGTCGAGTCTTCAGAAGCAGACCCCCATTTTCCCCCCATGTTCCAGTTGGTAAATTTCAGCAGTTGATCTTTGGGTCAGGCCCTTTCACCACTGTTTCAATCCTGCTCCTGAAGAATAACCTCAGTTAGAAGCACCAAGTTTAAAACTGCATGGGCAAGCCAAGTTAAAGGAAGAAAGGACAGACTTGCGGGCACAGATTCATATTATCATAGAAGTTAAAGAATTGAGTGGGTGTGCTAGATGGTTTTGCAATTTAAATCAAAACCATCAAAAAGCACCTATCAGCATGTGGTCCTATATGAGGCTCCAGGTAGATGATTTGAAGCAGAAGCTTCCCAATTAGCTTTGATTAATTATGTGTTTATTGAGTGCTTAGTGTGCCCAGCATGGTGCTAGATTTGGGAAAAAATAATCAAAGAACCCAGTGAGATGCTTCTTCAAGGTACTCAAGCACAAATGGAGATTGAAAGCACTCATAAATAATCAGAGACCAACACAAATCCCACGACACTATTCCCCACACTATTACGTATTGCCTCACATGTCTCACATGGAACCTCAGAACAGAGAGGGCTCCAAGTGGACTGGCCCAGTCCTGGGCACCCACGGTGAGAAGAAAGTCCGCTTTGGTGGGAGGACAGGTCAGTGGAGGTATAGGCAGTAGTTGCCTATTCAGAGAGAATTTTCAGAGACAGGTGTTTGCTTCTCTAGAAATACTCTGAGTTCCTTGATTCTCTCTCCCTCACAAAATAGAGCCTAGTGCTGTGCATATACAGAGTGAAGGCCTCCACCCACATTTTCAAAACATGAATAAGCTGTGTCATTTCCCATTCTCAATTGTTTCTTGAAAACAAAGCCGTTGCTATTGAGTTACTTCTGACTCACAGGACTCTACAGGACAGAGCACAACTGCCCCCATAGGGCCGCCAGCCCTGTAAATCGTGATGGAAGCAGGTTGTCACTGTTTTCTCTTGTGGGCACTTGGTAGGTTCCGATGGCACCAATTATTTCTTAGATAAGGCCATCAGGAACTAAAATTAATGTTATATGTTTTTGTTTTTTAACGTCCAGACCAGCCCAATCCATCTGAGAGAGAAACTATAGAACAATAACCTTAAACTAAATATCTGCAAGTCAACAACCTAGATAAAAATAAAATTTTGTCCTTTTAAAATGCATTTCTAAATCACAGTTATATAATAAGTTCAGGAGAACCAGACCAATAATTTCAGGGTGACCAATAAGCTATTAATTTGAATGTGTAAGCAAATTATTCAGTCAAGAAGATAAAAACTACATAATAATCAAATCAGAAATAAAATAATTCCCTTGACAACCAGAAAACATCTTTGTATTTTCAAGTTCTTACATTCTTGGCAATTTGTGATTTCCTGTCTCCATTTGGATAACCCAGAACCAGTCCCTGCCAATTAGATGCTTTTATTTACTTCCCTTTATCGAGGGAAGGAGCTCTGATG